TTTTGGTTTGTGGTTTTTTTTTTTTTTTTTTTTTTTTTTTTTTTTTACAGTGATAAGAAAAATGAGAAGGGACTCCTGTCATGTTGGTTTCTAGTGTATGAGATACTGTCTGCTGTGTTCTGTATTTTTTTATTTTTTGACTAACTGTATGGAAAGTTGTCAGTAAAGCCTTTGTCAGAGGATGGATTTTTAATCCTGTTCAGAGTCCTGGTTTAATCAAGTTTTTTTTTCTCAAAGGATGGAAGACTTCCCTGCTGCATGCACACAAATGCCCTACGTCATCTTTCCACCACTGGGGTATCTCACAGTCCTCCTGCATTGGTGGCTCTCAACCCCTCAGCTCTTTGGGCTGAATCAGGACTTTACTCACATTTGTTTTTTATCTCGGCTGAGAGCAGGTGGGTTTCATTTTGGACCCTGCCATGCCAGATTGAGCAGAGCCCATGCACAGGAAGGGGTTGAGCCTAAGTCTAGCCAGCAGCTGTGGTAGTTTTTTGTTTTCTTGCCCTAAACAATGTGTGTCCATCAGTTTGAGCTGTAGCTGTTGAACAAAGCACCTAGTCTTCAGGCCTTTTTGAAAGCACGTAGACCTTAGCAGTTGTGTGGTCTTGTAGTCATGGGAGGAGCAGTGCAATATTGGGGTCTTGGTACCATGGATCCGTGAGGCCTCCTTTTCCTGTTCAGCCTCCCTTCTAGCCTTAATGCAGCAGCCCAGGGATACCCAGTTGGAGACAGCTGCCTCAGACTCCAAGGGACAGTGGAGGCCAAATGCTGGAATAGAGAGTGGGAGGCAGCTTTCCTTGGTTAATTCTTGAAACTTTCCCGGTGTTTGTGAATTCTGGCTTTTCCTCTGATTGTTCGGGGCTGATGTGTCAATGGAGTGGGCCTCTGCCCAGTCACTAGAGCTTTGTGAGGGACACTGAATCCCTGGCCTCAAGAGTTTTTGAGGTAGTACAGTGGGCTAGGAAGTTGCTCTTGTTAACTGACATAACTTTACCAGATACAAGTAGGCACTTATGCCTAGGCCTCTTGCCCTGTTGTTGCAGAGGTGGGGACCACTGGGAGAGAGGTGCTTCTGTGGGGAAATGTCACAGTTGCCGAGGTGTTGGGCAGTGCTAGAGCTCACAGCCATTCAAGCTGAGCTGCAGAGGAATGTGGAGGCATCAAGCTGGGAGGGAGAGATGGCTTGAAGTTCTGTGGCCACGCATCTCTACTAAGACAGTATGGCCAGCATTGGCAGATGAAGCCAGCAGTGTCAGGGACCAGGGAGGGAAGTCACTCACAGCAGTTGTCACCATAGAGCACAGCCCAAACACTATTTTTTAGATTGTTTGTGGCAGTTTAGATGTTTTAAAAGGATCATTGTCAAGGCTGAGGGAGAACAGAAGCTCCAGTAAGGGAAATGAGCCTCCAAATGACCAGGAACTCCGGATTCTGTTGACCGTGCTGTCCTCTCTCTAGGTCTGGTCCACTACCCTGGCTGGCACGAGGCAGCGCAGGTGACAGCTGGGATGTGTTGAGAGAGAGTTCGTGAGATGGAGGCGGGGGCTCAGTGCGGACCTCATGGACAATACATGCCTCTCCACAAGGACAGTGAAAGAGGTGACTTTTTGAGACCTTAGAGATTTAAAATAAACAGGGCAAGGAAGGCGCCTGGGGAAGTACTGCACTAGGCTTCAGCTGGTACTCGTGAAAGAAAATGCACGTTCATAACAAACACAAGAAGTGTTAAATGTGTTTGCCTGTTTGTACTTGAGCTTTGGCCACAATTGCCAGGTATCTGAGCAAAGCAGTGTGAGGCACAGTAGGCCACAGCTGCACCATTCCAGGCAGTTGGAACCACCAGAAGCAGGAATGGGCCTCATCTTGTTTAGAGCAGATGAGGTAGGGACGAAGGCCTGGGTCACAGGCCAGAGCCACCTTGCTGTATTAAGCCCAGAACTTCTCTGGGCTGTTCCTTCATACAGTGGGTGCTCAGGACCCAGAATACTACACCTCCTAGTTTTCCCAGACAGAAACCTAGAAAGTCTGGCTGGAGAGGACACTTAAACCCTTGCTTTGTTCACCCTTCTTGAGGGATAGGTGCTTTCTGGCCCCAAATTGAACTACAGAGTTTTCCTGCTGTGTGACCATCCTCCTCTTCCTTGGACCCTCTTCTCAACTCCTTCCTTCCTCTCTTAAGACAGCAGCTTCTGTAACCTCTCTCAGAACGGCCTTGGCCAGCACTAGCGAGGGTAGATCAGGTGGTCAAGGCCCTGGTTGATTTATGATGCTGCCCCCAGAGAGAGAACTATTTAGCTGCAGGCAACCTGTGCCTCCACCTGGGGTTCAGGTTCTATCTGAGGTGTGGCTTAAAGGCAGAAATCAACCTAAGGCGAAATTTGCCTCATTGGTGGTTTGCTACTATTCCACGTGTTTCTTCCTAAGTGACAGATCATGAGCCCTGCCTGGCAGGAAAAGAGAGCTGATGTTTTCTTTAGTCTCTTAGGGCATTTCCCTAAGGGTGTGTTGTCAAGTTGAACAGGAGTGTGCTTTCTTATTGCAGGTCCCCATCTCCGCCCAAGAGACCTGTGGGTGTTCCCAAGAGCTGCTGGCAGAGTTCAGGGAGACTGTGGCTCTGCCCAGTTAATGACTAGAATACAATGCGTTTAGTGCTTCTTGACTTTTAACCTGTTTTCTTCTAATGCACCAGCAGTCAAACTAGTCCACTGGTTAGGTGTTAGCAGTCCATTTAAGCTGAGGCATGAAGCAACCCAAGAGCTGAGACCTCTGCTCTCTAGAGGACCAAGAGGTGCCTGTGTGTGACACAGGACCAACCACTTCAGTGTGTGTGATGAACTGTATGGTGCTCCGAAGCCCAGCAGGGCTTCACCAGCCCCTGGTGAGTTTTAGCCATCTTGTCTTGCTTATTTACTTCACAAATTTGTCCTCTTATCTCAGCAAAGGGAGAAAAGTCTTTTTAGCTATAAATACCTATATGATAGGAACCAGGCAAACTCAAAGGAAGAAAGAGACTAGGATCTCCTGTTTATTGTGGGTAAGAAGGGGGTGGGGTGGGGTGAGTGAAAAGGTAAAAGCACCTGGTACTTTCCCTGGTGGTAGCACAGTTTAACCATAGGCCAGTTGTAGAGGCCTGTGAAATACCTGCAAACCCAGTCTGACCAAGCCCTAGCTGCCCCTGCCCCGAAACTGCCAAAACTGAAGAACTGCCCAGGGCTACTGTTGTACTCCCTTCGGAAAACAGTAATGACAGTCAGTCAGTCACCCACCTACAGGGATGGCCAAAATGCTTTCACTCCCTAGCTTTGCCAGCTCATTGCTCCACAACATCCCAGGACCCCTAACGTTCCAGCTCCACCAAATCTCTGGAGCTGCCTTCTTGCTTCAGAACCCAGGATAGAGAGATGCGTGCGGAGTGGACAGTGCCCTGAGCACCTCCCTCTGCCCCCTGCCCAGTCCTCCTCGGGGCGAGCAGCAGACCAGGTTAGATGCTGTGACTAAGCTGCTTTTCTCCCCAGAGTGCTTTATTTGGGCAGAATGTGTTCTCACCCGGTCCTGGGCTGCCTCTCTTGGAAGGCGCCTTTATTACCTGGCTAGAGCTGCAAGGAAAGGGACAGACCCCACTTTGGTAAAAGAGAACAGGGAAAGGCCAAAAACAAAGAAAGACAGACTTGTAGTTTATTTTGTATTTTTTTTAAATAAATACACTTTACATTAAAAGGCTTTTGATTTGTACTTTCCACATTGGGGAGAAAGGGAAGAAAAAAAGATTTTTGAAAAAATCACAAAGAAAAATAGAGGGAGTGAACTTATATCCTAAGTTCCCTCAACTCCACAAAACCAATATCCACAATGACCTTGCTGCCCGCCCCAAACCATGAAGGTGGGTAAGCCTAGGCATTTACTCAGCAAACAAGCAGCACCTCCTCCCCACCTCTGGCACAAAGGAAAACAAATTAACCTGACAGCATGAGGCAACAAAACAGGTTAAAAAATCATATATTATATTTATAATAAAATATTCTTAATCCTTATCAATTTAAGAAACCACGATTTTCCTTTTCATTTAAATACGTATGTAAAAATGCCTCTGTTATTTAGACATCATTTTCTTCCATAGAAAATGAACTGCAGGGACAAGAGACCTGGTGGATATAAGTTCATACCCTCAATTATAAATGCCTTTTTTTTTTCTTTTTAAGTTTTATAAAAAACTATTTCTTGTTCTTTAAGTAAAGAACATTATACAAAGAAAATATATTGTGAAATAACCCCAGAGACGTGATGGTTTTTTTTTCCCCTTGAGGAAAGATATGTCCATCCTAGGAGAAAGGGGAAGCAGAATAGGGCCTAACCCCTGTTGTCTTTTTTTTGTGTGGTTATTGTTTTTAGAAGGACTCTCAGATTCCAGTGAGACTCTAAATCATAATCCTCTGAATGCAGGGCATGCAGTTCCTTAAAAGAGCCCTGGGAGAAAGGGAAGGGAAGATGTTCTGAATTCATTTGACTCAGTTTCTCGCCTGCCAAGAATCTCTTCCACGTGGTGATGGCTCCTCACTCATTTAGAGATAAGATGATGTCATCTTCCAAATCAGAGTTGTCAGAGCTGTCGGCTGAAAGGTAAGGAAAGGGAGAGACTAGATTACGCACTAGGCTTGTAGGAAGCTTTCAGGGAGAAAGCACCTGCATACACATAAATTTATGCCTGAGCAAGGTTAATTACCAGTTTCCAGAAAGAAGAAAACATGTCAACTAACTCCTCGGAGCTGGCTCTGGAAAATATACTGTTTCAGCAAAGATGGTTACTCCTGGGACCTCTTGCTTGCTTACCTTTCAAAGGACCTGGACATGGAACCCTCTTGCTTCCTAGAGGTTCTTCCTCCTGCCTGAAAGGCCCTAAAGGGACCAGGCAAGCCCCCTCTGAAGCTTTTGCCCATGGTGCTTTGAGTGGCTGCAAAGGGGCAGGGCTGATAGGAGCAGTGAGTGAGCCTGTGTAGTCCTTTGGCCTCTGGAGTCCCTCCGGTGGGAACAGGCCTGCCTGAACCCCAGGACCACTAAAAAGGCAGGCTGAGCCCAAGCAAGGATGAGACTTCTCTTAAACTCGTCAGCCACTCTCTTCTCAGAAGACCTCATAAAGGCAGAGGTAGTCAACCTGGTATTCATTCCTCTGAAATTTCTAAATATAATCTGAAGGGAACAAATTCCCAAAAGATACAAGCCAGAGCTTGCAGCAATACGAGAAAAACTGGGCTGGAGGCCAGCAGGGAGTAGCTGTGGCACCCTGGAAGGTGGCACTGTGTCTGACCCTCTGCTTGACCATCTGCCTTCCAGGCAGTGAATAGACCACATGAACACCTCTGGAAGGATCCATTAAGAGGTGAAGCTAGGTGGTAACAGAAAGAACCCTCAAAGTGAGGTAGATGCACCTGTCTGGATGACAGAAATCGGAGAGAAACATAATACCTAGCTCTAGTATTTGCTGAGTGAAGGTAAAGGAAAAATCTTAGTGCCAGTGAAGGTAAAGGAAAAATTCTAGTGCCCATTTTGATCACTCTCAGCTTAGGAAGCTGTGAAACAATTTTAACAAGGTCCCCAGGGAAATGGGCCAGCAGGTCCTGAGCTGGAGCCCTGAAAATGCCCATAGGCCCTGTGGTTCCCATGAGGAGAGGGACAGCCACTGGTTCCAAAGAATCCCTCATCAGCCCTTTCCCAGGTACCTGAGAGACTCCACTCGGGGAAAGCTGACGAAGAACTGCATGTTCCCAAACCTTCCATTCACTACAATCTCCTTTAGGAAGAAAACTGAAGTGGATAAAGTAAAACCAAGAAAAGCATGGCCGTGATAAAATGAAGTCCTGAAGGTAAGCAAAAGTGATGGCTGGAAAAACCAGTGTTCCTGGGTCTAACAGGGCACAAGCAGGGCTTGACTTTATTGGTGAGGAGTGGGGAAACCAAGATGGAGATCAAACTAATACCTGACACCGCTAAACCACAAACTAAGCCTCATCAGCTTCCTTGCTGAAAGAACTCCAGGAGGAAGTGAGCAGGGAAGGGGGTGACTCAGGCACAGCACTGTGTCCAAGGCCCATGGCAGACTGCGGAGAATCCCCTCGTGCTCATGCAATCTATGAACCAACACTGCCACACCCACCTGCCTGAGACCTATTCTAACCATCAGCTGTAGAGCTACTAAAAATTAAGAATCTTAACAACTCTGCATCACACCCAAGGACTGTAAATGCAGCTGGAGGAGGATAACACAATCTTCCATAAGCAAATAATTGTCAGGCACAGGGTTTAACAGAGAACTTTCAGGGGTCAGACAGTGATTCCCCTCTTGGTGGTCAGGTGGCAGGACTCCCTTCTCTACCTTCCTTAGCCTTTTCTCATCCTCCAAATGTTGAAGATACCCGAACTCAGACCCTGCTGGGGACCTCTCCCTCTGAAAGGCCCTGGAAGCAAAGGCAGTCAGTGTTAGTCCCTACCATGTTTATTTAACCTGTTGCTCTACAACATACAGGCTTTTGGGGGCGGGGGCGGGTCAGAACTGACTGGAAAGAGAAACAAAGGCCTCAGAGTCAAGGTGTCGGTCTCCCTAGGGCTGGGGTTCTCTATATGAAATCAATCATTGGATCTCTGGGATCTGGGGCCTATGCAAGGTTACATGGGGGGCATGTGGGTGTGGTTTTCTATAGTTACAATGGCTTTCATCATATCCTAAAAGGGCTCCATAAACCCCAAAAGGTTAACAGCTAATACACCAGATGATTAGTGTAAGGCAAAATATCAGCAAACCAAGGATACAGAGAGTGGTCCTTGTGTCTGCTCTGTTTCGAGCCACTATCAGTCTCTATAAAACAGAGAAAGCAACAGAGTACCTACGCTGCACATGCCACCACCTCAGTTCTAGAGCCCAAACTGACATGTCCTCAACTTGTCATCTGTAATGGCACTTTCACATCATAAATATTCCCACCAAGTTAAAGTAACATTCTCTGATAGAATTAGGGTTTTCCAGATTACCTCTTGGGCTTAAAAGAATGAATTTCCTAGAATAAACAGTAAAAGGCTAAAGGAAGCAGTAATTTTACAGGCCAAATACAAAATTAATTTATATTCAAACTAAGAAGGGAAAAATTAGTGATAGTCTTAGGTCGGGGGTACCAGCTGCTCCCCTAACCTACCTTATATTACTTATAATTGAAGGGAAACAGAACTTGTGCCCACGTGTCACAGGTGACAAAGAAGTTTAGTAAAACTTTCCTTTTTATTCCCATCAATATTGTCATGTTTCCCTTGCCCCTGAGTCCCTCTTACCTGGCTCTCTGACCATCGCTAGGGACAAAGGAAATCCTCCTTCAGTGAATCATCTCAACCTCCAAGTACGAAAAAATGGAAGTTGGCAAACAGCAGATGGGCAGATAGATACAAGGCAATCCCTCCCACCCCACAGAGCTTCCTCAAAATGCAACTCTGGCAAGAGGACTTAACGTAAAAAAGACAGTCTCCCCTAAGCCAACTGCCTTCAATCTTGAGCTCTAGAAGCATGTATAAGATTTATCCCAAAGAAAATGGATTTAGGTCACTGTGGAACAGGAGAATCTTATACATATATGCTTAAATATATGTACTGCCACCCACCCTCTCCTCTCCTACCATACATACACACTCCCTCCCTCCCCCAGCCCCCAACACCAAACACCAATGACTAAAAACCAAGCATCTACTCTGAAGAGGCTTGGAGTTTGCTGAGCTTAGGCCAATATAACAATAGGCAATAACATTTTCTGTAATGATGTAAATGTTCTATATCTGTGCTGTTCAGTATGGTAGCCACGTGTGGCTACTGAGCACTTGAAATGTAGACATGAAAATGAGGGACTGAATTTTAAATTTAAAATTCTAATGGCCACAGATGGTTACTGGCTACCATATTAGGCATAATACCGACCTTGGCTGTGAGAATGCTGGCCAGGTTAGCTACATGAAAAATGACTGAATATCACAGTGATTACTCCCCAGTCAGGCAGGGCAGCACTAGGAAGAACCAGGACCACAGCAAGCATGAGTCTGTCAACAGTGACACAGGTCACAGTGATGCTGCCAAATATGTCCTCTTAAAACATGCAGAGTATACCAGCAGAGCTCGCAGACTCCTATAGAACTATTAGGTGATTTACTCAGGGTCCATTAGTATAGGCAGGGGACAACTTGACTTCAGAAACCTGTTCTAATGGGAAGGTACTGGAAAAACTGGAGCTTGTTCTTTAAAACTTGGAATAAGAAAGGGGGGTGGGGGGGAAGGAACAAAACAGAAGCCAAAGAGAAACATCTGTTCCCTGGCCTTTAAGAGGGATTAAGCAAAAGCAGGCAGGAAGGGGCTGCAACCCACAAGAGGGCTTTTATTACTTTACAACTTTAGAAAAGAGCAGGTACAGCACCCCCATGAGCAGCTGCATCTGATGATGTCAGCTCTGTCTCTTGGGAGAACTACACTTTTACCCTCCAGTCTAAGGCTAATCCTCTGAAGCAGGGGTCGACAAACCTACAACCCATAGGCCAAACCAAGACCACCAGCTATTTTGGTAAATAAAGTTTATTAGAACACAGCCACATCATTAATTTATGTCTTGTCTCTGGCTGCTCTCACACTACAACAGCAAAGCTGAGTAGCTGCAAAAGAGACCATTCAGCCCACAAAGCCAAAATTATTTACTGTCCAGCCTTTGTAGAAGTCTGCCAACCCCTGTTTTAAAGAGATAATAGCCATTTGGTTACAGAGTCGTCATGACAGGAGCACTGAGGATGAGAGATGTGAAACTGCTTTTCCTCAAGGGCCCAGGTGGTGACTCTAGTTAACGGGGCACAGAACCCTGGTGTGGCTTGCCCTCTGGGCTGGGCTGGCACAGGGAAGGGCCCTTTCCCTAGGTACCCAAGCTCAGCCTCGTGGTCAGCCCTAGACTTACTGTCCCCCAGGATCAGTTCCACTTCCTCATCTGCATCAGAGTCTTCATCTTCTCCGTCCTCTCCCTCCTCTAGCAGGTTTGCTAGCTCCTCATCAGAGGGAGAAAAGTCATTGTCCCCATCCTCCCCTGCATTCTCATTGTTGTCATCCTCCTCCAACTCCGCCTCCAGCAACTGGTCAGTGTCAAGCTCATCTAAATCATCAGTGTCGTCATCATCTTCATCGTCATCTTCTTCCTCCTGTTCTTCCTCTTCCTGGTAAGAGAGCATGAGGTCCATTAGGACAAACACAGACCCAGCCCATGTGGGCCACATGGGGAGTCTCTCTCCTCCTTCCCAAAGGACAGAGGAGGTAACAGTCAGTAGAGAGCATGGTAATCTAGGTTAGCACACACTTCATGGGTCGGCTTGACGCGTCAGTGAAGGCTGAGACAGGCACATAGACGTCCCCCAAGACACTCAAGCACTCCTCAGACAAGGACTACTGGTCACTCCACAAAGGCATTACTGGTCATGCAGCCCTTATCTAAGGAAATGGACAACACACTTCACAGTGGTCTCTGCCATCAACATTCTATGTTTCTAACTAATAATAAACCCCAAAGGGCTCTTGGCTCTTCTCTCTATCCTGTTATCAACCAAACCATATGAAATCACTTGAGGCACTGGAACTAAAGCTTCTACCTGGAATCTAAAAAGCAGTGCTTTAATAAAACAGGAAGAACACAGCTGCTGAGTCACCAGCTCCTAAGCCCTTCAAATTCTTGTCCTTGATCTTATTTATAACCATGTATGTGGGTCAGCACCTCTGACGGTGCTATCACAAGCATCCAATGAACTGAATGTCCAACAAAATAGACTTTTACCACTAAAGAGATACTTGGATTTCCTGTTACAAGCCACACACACACCAAAAAAGTATGCTAGAGAAATTGTCCAGCCTTCCGTTCCCTCCAAACTGTTTCCCTTCAAGCAAGAGAGGACACGGCGATACCTCTTTGCTTTCCTAAGAACGACAGGTGTTCCCAAGTTAAAGTGACCAACATTCAGTCACTAATCCTTCTGCTCAAACATCAACTGTCAGCACTGCCAGTAGCAAAAGGATTCTAATTCCTGCAATAATAAAATATAAAATTCATTTAACACACCAGCCTAATAAAAGTCAAGACAAAACAAGCCCTACATTAGCAGAAAAAATCTTTAAAAACATTTTGGAAGTGCTTTAAAAAAAAAAGGGGGGGACTTCCCCAGTGGAACAGTGGTTAAGAATCTGCCTGCCAATGCAGGGGACACAGGTTCGATCCCTGGTCCGAGAAGATCCCACAAGCCGCGGAGCAACTCGTACGCCACAACTACTGAGCTTGCAAGCCACAACTACTGAAGCCCGTGTGCCTAGAGCCCATGCTCCGCAACAACAGAAGCCACCACAATGAGAAGCCCGTGCACTGCAATGAAGAGTTAGCCCCCGCTCACCACAACTAGCAAAAGCCTTGGCGCAGCAACAAAGACCCAACACAGCCAAAAAAAAAAAAGTGCTGCCGCGTGCCAATCACTTAAAAACCAAACACTGCTTATCCGGCCACTAGTGTTCATCAGCTGTAAAGTAAACTAGGCTCATATTCAGCAGGGTAGCTCTGCTTTGTAAACTTTTGATAATTTTGGGCTTTTTGATTTGCTGTTTGACCCACTGATTTAGACTTTTCAACAATTTCTGGCAGCTACATGGGAATAACTGGCCCCTTTAAATACCCAGTATTCCTAATGCCTGTACAAGTATGTGTCCACACCAGAGTTTATGTGTGTGAACATACCGCCATGATAACCTGAGACCACTGTTCCACAGCCTGGCCACACATGACCTCCATGTGTACAGCTACTAAGCATCTGCCCACTGGAAAGGAACTGAGAATGCCTGAAGGCAGTAACAATAAACTGACGCACAGACAAGCTTCTGGCCCTACAAATACATCAGCTCATACAAATAACAAGGGAAAAGAGAGAGGAGTCAAAATTCAGGGAAATAATTCAAAGTATTTACCAGATTACAACTTTTGCCTCTTTTTTCCACACGTTTTCAGGGATCTGACCAAAATTAGTTCTAATTAATAAAGTTCCTTCAGTTAAAAAGAAGCACATTAAAAAGAGTATCCAGGGCTTCCTTGGTGGCACAGTGGTTGAGAGTCCGCCTGCCGATGCAGGGGACACGGGTTCGTACCCTGGTCCGGGAAGATCCCACATGCCGCGGAGTGGCTGGGCCCGTGAGCCATGGCCGCTGAGCCTGTGCGTCTGGAGCCTGTGTTCCGCAACGGGAGAGGCCACAACAGTGAGAGGCCCGCGTACCGCAAAAAAAAAAAAAAGATGCTAAGGGCTCTCAATGGATTAAGTAGACAGCATGCAAGAATAGATGGACAACAGAAGCAGAGAGATGGAAGTTCTAAGAACCAAAAAGAAATGCTAGCAATCAGAAATACTGTGACAGAAATGAAGAATGCTTTTGATAGGATTTCTTAGTGGATGGACACTGCTAAGGAAAGAATCTCTGAGCACGAGGATATCTCAATAGACACCACCAAAACTAAAAAGCAAAGAGAACAAAGACTGCAAGACACAGAACAGAATATCCAATAACTGTGGGATAACTACAAAAGGCATAACATGCATATAGTGGAAATTCTAGAAGCAGAAGAAAAAAAAAAAGAACAGAAGAGATACTTGAAACAATAATGACTGAAAATGTCCCCCAAATTAATGTCAGATACCAAACCACAGATCCAGGAAGCTCTGAGAAAACTGAGCAGGATAAATGCCCAAAAAGACCCCACACCTAGTGACATCATTTTTTAAACTACAGAAAATCAAAGATAAAGAATAAATCCTGAAAGAAACCAGAGGGGAAAAACATCTTACCTATAGAGGAACAAAAAAAAATTACACCCAATTTATCCTCCAAAACCATGAAAGCAAGAAGAGAGTGGAATGGAGTATTTAAAATGTTGAGAGGGCTTCCCTGGTGGCACAGTGGTTGAGAATCTGCCTGCTAATGCAGGGGACAGGGGTTCGAACCCTGGTCTGGGAAGATCCCACATGCCACGGAGCAACTAGGCCCGTGAGCCACAACTGCTGAGCCTGCGCGTCTGGAGCCTGTGATCTGCAACAAGAGAGGCCGCGATAGTGAGAGGCCCGCGCACAGCGATGAAGAGTGGCCACCGCTTGCCACAACTAGAGAAAGCCCTCACAAAGAAACGAAGACCCAACACAGTCAAAAATAAAAATAAATAAATTTTTAAAAAAACAACCTCTATCAAAAAAAAAAAATTGTTGAGAGACCAAAACCACCAACCTATAATTCCATACCGTGTGAAAGTATCCTTCAAAAGTGAAGGAGAGTGACTTCCCTGGTGGTCTAGTGGGTAAGACTCTGCACTCCCAATGCAGGGGGCCCGGGTTTGATCCCTGGTTGGGGAACTAGATCCCGCATGCCTCAACTAATAAGTCTGCGTGCCACAACTAAGAAGAAGTCCACACGCCGCAGAGAAGATCCCACGTGCCACAACTAAGACCTAGCACAGCCTAAATAAATTTTTAAAAAGTGAAGGAAAAATACTTTTTCAGACAAACAAAAACTGAGACAATTTGTTGCCAGTAAACCTATTTTGCAAGGAATGTTAAAAGAGGGCTTCTCTGGTGGCTCAGTGGTTAAGATCCACCTGCCAATGCAGGGGACACAGGTTCGAGCCCTGGTCTGGGAAGATCCCACATGCCACAGAACAACTAAGCCCATGCACCACAACTACTGAGCCTCTGTGCCACAACTACTGAAACCCACGTGCTTAGAATGCAGGGGACACAGGTTCGAGCCCTGGTCTGGGAAGATCCCACATGCCACAGAACAACTAAGCCCATGCACCACAACTACTGAGCCTCTGTGCCACAACTACTGAAACCCACGTGCTTAGAGCCCGTGCTCTGCAACGAGAAGCCACAACAATGAGAAGCCCGCGCACCACAATGAAAAGTAGCCCCCACTTACCACAACTAGAGAAAGCCCACGTGCAGCAAAGAACACCCAACACAGCCATAAATAAATAAATATAGATTGATAGAAACGTTAAAAGAAATTCTTCAGAGAGAAGGAAAAAAGTTAGAAACTCTGAATATATTAAGGAAGAGCACTGGAGAATGAATAAGTGAAGGTAGAATAAACATTTTATTTTTCTTTTTCTTCACTGATCTTTGTTCAAAATAATAGTAGTTTGTTTAAAATAATACTACCAACAATGTATTCAATTATGTTTGCTTTTATATCAGTAAAATGAATGACAGCAATGAAACAAGGGATAGGAGGAAAGAATTAGGACTACAGATTTTGTTATCATAAGTTACTTGCACTATTCATGAAGAGATACAGTGCTATTTGAAAGTGGACTTGGATTACTTGTAAATGTACACTGCAACCTCTAGGGTAACCACTAAAGAAAGTTAAAAAAAAAAAAGGTGTAACTAATATGCTAATAAAGAAGAGAGGGGAATCCTATAAAATACTCAATTAAAACCACAAAAAGGAATTCCCTGGCAGTCCAGTGGTTAGGACTCTGTGCTTTCAGTGTCCTGGGCCAGGGTTCAATACCTGGTTGGGGAACTAAGATCCTGTGAGCTGCACAGCGTGTCCAAACAAACAAACAAAAAAAACACAAAATGCAGAAGAAGAATGGAAGACAAAAACAGGAGCAAAGAACAAATAGAAAAAGTAACAAATATGGTAGATGTTAATCTTACTATATCAATAATTACTTTGAATGTCAATGTTCCAAATGCATCAATTAAAAGAGAGATATGGGCTTCCCTGGTGGCGCAGTGGTTGAGAGTCCGCCTGCCAATGCAGGGGACGCGGGTTCGTGCCCTGGTCCAGGAGGATCCCACATGCCGCGGAGCGGCTGGGCCCGTGAGCCGTGGCCGCTGGGCCTGCGCATCCGGAGCCTGTGCTCCGCAGCGGGAGAGGCCGCAGCGGTGAGAGGCCCGCGTACCGCCAAAAAAAAAAACAAAAAAAAAGAGAGATATAATCAGAGTGGATCAATAAATAAGACTCAACTACATGTTGTCTATAAGAAACCCACTTTATATATAGATTAAAACTAAATGGCCATGGGACTTCCCTGGCAGTCCAGTGGTTAAGACTTAACATTCCAATGTAGGATGTGCAGGTTCGATCCCTGGTCGGGACGCTAAAATCTCACATCCCTCATGGCCAAAAAACC